ATCATCCGTAGTTAACTCACAGTTAAGCATGATGGCTTTGCTTTCATACGAACGAGCCAAACATACATGATTAGTGCTCCACTGAAGAATTCTGAACATATTTGAGGAAGTACGTATTATGTTGAACTTCTTTTGCACCGTACATAGGCAACGGTGCTAATCGGAAGTGCAGAGCCGCAATGCCTTATGTCATTTCTGTCTGACGTTCTTCAAACAGAGGAATAAGACGAGACAAAGCTTAACAATGCACACAAGAGAATGTGAAAGAAAAAAGCACGAGTAAGGCAGTTGGAAAAAAAGACCCTGATAATGCCGGCAATGTAGTTGCGTGTGATAATAAAACACGTGTCGACAATTCCGATGCACCGAGAGCGCGTGCGTACTTGCCCACGTGACCGGCGCGTGTGGGTTGGTGCCGGTGGCCTCAGAACACAAGTGTCTATATATGCAGGTGGCCGCATGACTCGACACGCGCTTACGGTTCAAGCATACCTCCACCGGCCGCAAACCGCAAAATGAAGATTGAAATGTGAGTTAGCGACGGTAAGAAAAGGCTTGGGTTAACCGTGTTCAAACAGGTCGTGCAGTAGCACGTGCTTTCGAAGTAACCGGACTGTTCTTCAAACCGTGACTCGGAAAGGGGTCCCCACCTCACACCAGCTTGACCTGTTAACTCGAAGTGATTTATCATCTGACTCAGGTGGCATTTTTAAAAGGACCTCAGCTGCACTCTAGTTGGTATCCAGTCTGCACTAACTGCAGTTCACATTCTTCTCAGGTTGCATGCTCAATGTACGGCGCAGCTAAACTTGGACCAGGCAGCGGGAGACTGGTTTGCTGCCGATATCCGCTCAGCGATTGTTCGTGCCCACATCCTCCTCGGTATCAAGACACTCCCCATTCATCTCACCTCGACGGCACCGCGTAATCTTTCCATTTTAAACAAGCACTGTAATTTCCCACCTTGGTGGCTCGGCGAACCCTCGACTCGATAAAGAAGAAACAAGATTCATGTTCATCCAGTCTAGAGCGCCATCTGTGTCATTCTCAGTATGAAACAATAATCGCTTCAAAAAGATTACGGGAGAATGAGCATATGCACGGCAGTTATAGGACCTCAAGCGATAAAAGTTGGCAATTTATAACATTATCAGAGTCTATAGCTATGCATGTCTTCGGTGTGCCAACTGTTAAGTATACATATTTTTTGACATGTTGAAATTAAATAATAAAAAGTCACAATTACAAAAAGTAAATGTTTACTGATCATAAAAAATAGCCCGTATGCCCAATATGTACGCCTCCTCCACAGAATGAGCACAGCCCATTTAGGGAGACCGAATGCCCAGCAGCAGAGACAGCGTTGCAGACAGTCACTGCAATATTATTGCACCCAGATGCTCATCAACATGCAACCACTAACGCGTGACGCGAGTGAAGTTAATTATGCTCACGCTCATGCACAGCAAATCTAAACCCAATGCGTTGAGCAACTTCATTGTAATACACGATCGTCACTGTGATGTCACATTGTTTCAGCACCTGTCCTTTCTCCACTCGCACAGCAAACGCATCAATTCCTATTTTCTTTTCCCCATACGTGACTTTTATGCCATCACGTTGTATTGATGTTTGTAATAAATTCCGCAAAAATTGCTTTTTAATATTTTAGTAACGTAACATACACTGTAGCCTGGACCTTTTCGGAAATATATTTGTGTTGTAAGGGTGACCTTGAAGAATACTCAAATTTAATACCAGTGAAATATGTCTCTGCATTGGGAAAACAAATCAGCAAAGCTACATTTCAATAAATCATGCTGAATTTCACTGATCTGCTGCCCTCATAGTTTCATACATACATTAATGCAATCACAAGCATACAGCAGAAATTAATTATACTACACCAAAGCCATGCATCAAAACTGCACGGATAAGGCAAATACAATTCGAATCCCCGGCTCAGTATATTTAATTAGAAGCCCTCCGATGTGCGATAAAAATATGGATAAATTTAAAGTTTAAGCAACCACAGGTCCCTTTAGTTCCACACTGTAAAAATAAATTGGTGGAATGTTTTTCTTAACTATATTAGAGCAACACGTGTAATTTGGTCAACAAGTTGTCAGATTTTTTTCTTACATCAAATTAATCTGACGAATAAAAAAACTATAATGATTGTATTGGATGTCCTCCTGTTAAAATTGGATGTACTTCTCTGAAATAAAAAATCCCCCAAAAATTATAATATTCATAAATAGATTATCCACATGACCAAAAGGAAAACAACCTGTCGATCAATAATACCTCAGACCGTTATAGTTTATTACGAGAGAGCTATGGGTACCTCCGTTTAGAGTGGTGTACTGTTACAGTACGGTTTAATCAGGGAGAGAGTGACGGCACAGTGGTTCGCACACTGCACTCATTTATTTGGCGACCCGAGTTCACGTCTTGGCCACTGATAATATCAGTGACGAGTGACAGCGGAGCTCATTCTGGAGATATATGGCAAACAATCCCCATGAATGAGACAGTGTGGAGAGGCCTTCATCTAGCAGTGGATTGGCAAAGGGCTATAAGATATACATATTTAAATCACTATTCAAAACAGGAATTCAAATATTAAAATCTATTCCCATTTGCTTTTATACATTTAAGCAAAATACCTGATTAAACCATAATGAGCTTACCATAACCAGGATGCATAACAGAATTATTGTCATATTCTTGGTGTCCTGTCTCGAGTGTTTCTAATCGTGGGCGCATACTGCACTGCAATTAAGGAAACGTAATTAGGTGAGGCTGAACAATAGCCCTGTTGGTGAAAATCTCACCCTTGAGACTCAGATCAGAACAAGGCAGATCAGAACAAGGCAGTCGCAGGGGACTTTTTTTCAGTCAAGGACTTCTCAAACTCCTATTCGTGTGGCCCAACACAATCCATTTTCATTTTTTTTTACCTAAAGCCCTTTGTCCAAATGTTAATTGCACAGGATTATAATTTGACGAAACAACGACGGTTATTAAGAGCACAGGATACATTAAAACAAGATTGTGCCCTATTCCTATACGTATACATTAAATGTGACATTTATGACAAATTAGGTTTTAAGGGAGAGAAAAACAAAGCTCCACTACAGATTTCACTGGAGAAAATTACAGCCACTCAAAATGTATCCTTTTTCTGTTTTGCATTAAAGTTAATTAGACCAGTTTATCATACAAATGTAAACACAATTAAACGTCCTCATTCATCTGATCATCGGTTCACTGTCATTTGCCAAGGGAAGCTCAGTACCACTGAGGTTATAACATGGTTCGTTAATATTTATGGTACACATTTCAGACTTTGGTGAATCAGCCTTGTCATATAAATCATTTACTTAGAGAGGCAATCTACTCAATCACCACAGCCGCTGGAGTAATGGTAGAGATTGCATAAGTGTGGGATCAAAATGCATAATATAAATTACGTTCCAGTGACAGAAGTCCAGGAATAAATCTTTTTTTGAAAAGCGTCCGTGTTGTTCGAGTTAATAAGATTTACTTAGTAGGGGTGTAAAAAGTTAATCAATTCGGCAATTACTATCGATTCGTTTAGCTGACGATATGAATAAAATGCTTGAGAGAATCGATGGTTTTAATTCGTATGTGCCATATGCGAGATCTCGTCCCCCCCCCCCAACTCCCCGTGGCTGGCAGTGGTCACCCTCATTCACCCCAAGTTTAGAAGAGAATCAATTCTTGAATGGAGAGTGCAACCCTGAATCGCGAGAATTCATCGAATGTTGGGTGGGGTTGTGATTAAATTATATGTAGCGTATCTTTTGTAGGACAAGGTGGCCGTGAACAAGGATTACTGGAAAGTCATTGCATTTGGCATTGTACCAGCACTACCATCGATAAGTGGTTAATAAATGTGATGTCTTATTTACAAAAAAATATTCCAGTGATAAGTCAATTGCCATCACTCTTTTTATGAATAAATGGGTATCTGTATTGGGAATGGGCCAATCAAAACTTATTACAGTTTACTTTTCAACTTTGAGATATTAAAAGTATGGCATTATGTACATATACAAACAAAAACCAACGCAGATTAAGTGCTTTGGTATGTATAAGAGAACACAACTAGCTTTTAAGGTTCCATACACACAACCTGTAAATTATGAAGTAGCTGACAGTGAAAACATTTAATTTAGACCATCAATAAAAACCAGATGAGTCCCCATTCAAATGCCAATATTTTTCCCAACCCTACTGCTGCTAACTTTGTGAACCGACCTACGCATTAACAGCTCATATCTGCCTCTCAAAAAAATCACATCAACCTTGCACCATTTCCAAGAGGCGATCATTGCTGTTCAGATATATGTCAGGTGGATGACGACAAAACACCCCAGGGCCCATGCCGCTCGACACCTCGGTGTCAAGTCGAGATGGGGAAGTGAGACGAAGTGGCGACTGGAAGTGTCCAGCTGCCTGGCCTCGTCACACCTGACTGCACCAGATGGAGCTGGACATGGGCCTCACCGCTCTGGAGGGATGGACTGCTTGCGAGTAAACGGCTAGGGTGGAGGGCGCTACGTGACCCTATGTCAACCAAGCACAATATTAGTAAGGGTGCCGCAGTGGCGAGATGTTAACTACCTTGCCTGGCATACAGGAGGTTGTGGGTTCGATCCCGACCCTGACGCCTGTATATTTGGAGTTTGCATGTCTCTCTCCCCGTGGTGCTGTAGATTTTTCTCTGGGTCCTCCGGTTTTCCCCTCCACATTTAGAATCAACATGCGTTTAGAGTATTAAGCTGCTATAAATTTACACATAAGCCACTTCGTTGGGTTATCAATTTGTGGCCAGGCCACTTCTGAAAACAGCGCTTCACATCTCAGTAGACCAGACCTGGTAAAATTGAGAAGATACAGTTTATTGTTTAGTTTAAGCAGGAGCTGCAGCTGAAATGGGAGCAGCGCGTGCACGCGGAGAAAGTACTCACCGACCATGGCGCTGACCTCGCCGGCCATCAGCACCTCCGCAGTTTCATTGTACAGGTCGACGTCCACGATGCCCTTGCGGATCGTTTCACCCACTTTGGCTCCCAGCATAATGGAGCCCAGCGTCTCGAAGATGGAGGCCAGGATGCAGGCCTGCTTGAGGGTGACGACGCCGGAGCCCACGGCCGTGCCAAACGAGTTGGCCACGTCATTGGCGCCCACGGAGAAGGCGAGGATGAAGGCTATGATGAAGCCGACGATCACCATCCACATGTACTCTGTTAGAATCATCTTGGCGATGGGATTCCTTACAGTGACTTGGGATTTTAACGCAACTTTGCAGCTGTCGGCACTGACTCGCTCTACTTCTCAGATGTTCAAAGCCAGAAGCTAAATTGTTGAGGTTCTAAGCCTGTTATTATTTATAATTTAATAATAATCTTCGTCCGAGTGTTTATTCCACTAAGTGGAGTCCCACTTATTACAGTAATGACAAGTGATAATAATACTTAGACTAAATCTTTATTTTTTTAACACCCAAGACCAGATATTGCTAGATTTAGTTTGAGGTTTTATTAAAAGTAGTTCATAACATAAGATTCCAACTTAACTTTCAAATAACGATCTAGGAAGTGTATTAAAATATTTCTACCGTGTTCCTTTAAAAATAAAACGCCCAAACAGCAATTAAATGGTATTTATTTTCTCCTTTTTTTGTTAGAAAACGTCTGCTTACTTAATTTTTCTTAAATAAAGGGATTACTTTTAACATTTAAATGATCCGGCGATTAAAATAGTTGTACTAAATCAAGTCAGTGTAATTCAATGTAACTAATTATGCAATTTAAAGCTAAACTCACAGAGCTCAATAACAGTATAAAATGGGCAAGATATATTCCTAGATGCCGTTGAGGAAGGTGCTGCTGATTTAGTACAGCGTTCTCTCGTGTTATCCGGCCAGCTCCCAAATTTGTTCGTTGTGGTTGATGCGCCTATTTAGCAGTTGCAGTGAGGGACATTCCATGATGCGACAGAGGTGCTGCAGAGGTTGGCAGGGTACATCCTATCACGCACACAAAGACAAAGACAAAGATCCCCTGTATAGCCTTAACAGACTGTTGGGGCAAGTGCTGTTAGCGTGCACCTATGAAGGCTGGCACGGCACACGAGGGGGTGGGTGGCCAGCGCCACACCAGACTGCCTTTGTCTCCCCAGTGGCGATGTTTATACACCGCACCAGGTACTCATTAGAGGTTGAGTTGACCTAGAGGAGGCCCAGGACCAGTTCAGATAATTGTCAGTGTTGTTGGTGGCCGTGAGCGGGAATCGAACTCGGGTTGCCGGATTCGTAGCGCAGCGCGCTAACCGCTACACCACCACTCCCTACTACCGCTATCATGCACACACACACGCACCACACAAAGACAGTCAACCACGGCTATAATTCATTCTCATGAAACATTTCACCCAGCAGTATAAATGGGTAGTACGACCACAGTAAAGTCGACCGGCAAGTCACGCATGTGGTGGGGTAAAGTGTGGGCACTCCCCAACCTCTTTCACCATGTCCAGCGGGGGAACAGTAGCGAGCCCTTTCTAGAACCTAGAGGGACTCTCTAAATCTCCCCGTATGGCAGTCCCTGCCATTAACAGTGGCGTAGGCAGGAAATTACAGGGCTGCACCTTGAAACATTTCACATGCAAGCGTACAATCTTTTTAACGTACGAAAGTATGCAAAAAACGGAGAAAAGGCTTTATTGAATCTAAATGAGACCCATAAAGTTAACAATCAAATAACAGGGCATTTTAATTGTGTGCATTTGTATGTACGTTAATGAAAACACTTTTTTAAATCTTACCCATACCTTTCCTCGAGCCTGTCGGAAGAAAACACCAACATTGTAAAAGACTTTGTACTTAAAAAAAACATTCTGTAAAAACCCAGTGCTCGCCACGAGCAGTTAATACTGGAAGCGGCTTCAATCCCTGATGAGAACAAAGGAACTGGTTTGTGCTTCATCTCTTAACATGCGCTTACAGATGGAATTTTGGTTATGCATTGCCCCTCAGATGTTCTTCATTTCTCAGTGGTCAAGTGACTGAGCGTCTGCTACTGTAGGTGATGGGATGTAGGACGCAAATGCCGTGTGATCAAAGCGGGAAGGCCCTTACATGTACACAGGTGTACATGTAAGTACTGCATTGTACATTATATAAAATACTATATATACACATCTGTGCGGGTTTGGAAGGGGGAGCGGTGGCACAGTGGTTAGCACACTGTGCTAAGAATCCTTTTACCTAAATTTGATTCTCAGTCATGGCTAACACCAGTGACGATTGATATATTAATTGGTTTTGGGCTCCCGTTTCACCAACCCAGTGTGGTGCGATCGGTATATATATAAAAAAAAATCCTCGTGACGGACACGGCATATGGGGGGGGGGTAGACGTTCATCTGTTGATAAAGCGGTTCTAAATGATTGACTTTGTTGTTATTAGTATACTGATATGTAAAAGTAAAGAACTGTAATATAGGAAAGGTAATACGTATATCTTCAAATACTATAAGAGGAAGCAGCCATGGTGTAATGGTTAGCACACTGGTCGCCAATTAGATTCCCTCTCCCAATTGAAATATTGGGCAAGTCTCTGAAATGTGTACACTATAGCGAGACGATTGGCAGGTCCAGTGTGGTGGGGGTAAAGGTGTGGGAACTCCCACCTCTTCCACGATGTCTGGCCAGTGTGTGGGGACTGTCTAGAGCTCCCTTTAGCGGAGGTCTTGTAGGGCGTGCTCAAGCATAGTACATTGAGCACGCTCAATGTCTATCCGCTACATGTGCCCAAGTCCATTTCAACGAACGGCGCTTCGTAGGTCGGAGCCGAGGGCTTGATCCAGTGGACGATAGACTTGGGTGCAATACCGCAGCAGCCAGTCGCCCCTCCTCTTTACATAATCCCCGGGGTCACCATTTAACGGCAATGTGGCAATATTATGCAAGAAGCAATTAAGGCAATGCCCTTGCTGTCATTTATAATAGATTAGTAATCAAAATGTAATTGGTTAATACTTTTTTTTGGGGGGCGGGGAGGTTGCGGGGGCGTATTGGCATAACGGAGTCAACATGGGAAAAAAAGATGTTTCACTCGGAGAGAGGAAATTTTAAGCATGTGGTAGATTATTATGCACAAAGGGTCATCAAAATGTTTTGTCATGTTGCTAAGGTAGTCCGCGCAGAACTATTCTGGGTTTTTTTTGTTTACCAAAGAGACCAACTACTTGAATATATTTTAACGTATGAATTCATGTCGATGTATAAAATATATTATGCCTGCAAAACATTAAAATGTTTTATCTTCTTTGGTTCTTTCGGTAAAGTTACGTAGAATGAGAATAAAATAATAAATTGATAAAATAAAATAACACAATTTATTATTTTATTCTCATTCTACGTGACTTTACCAAAAGAACCAAAGAAGATGAATCCTTGCAGTCACGAAAGCTTTAAATCGAAATTAAAATGTTTCAAAGAGCCCTCTCCGGAAACAACTGCCGTGTACAGCGTACACAGACAAGAGTTTTTGTTGGGTTAGGTCGCGTAATTATCAATTAGTCGTGAAGCACCCGTGTGGTGAACTAGTAACGAATTGGCATGTTTTGTTTACGTTACAAATCTTACTAATTGGCTGTGTCGGGTGGTGGCGGGTTTAACGACACATTTATATTTACGCGATCTAACCCAACAATCTCTATTATGGATAATATTGGTCGCGAAAGCCTACGTATTAAAGCAGCACACATCACCATTCAAGGCATTTTTGGTTACGTATACTGTAAAACCTGCAATAAAAAAAACTGTTTTAAGAATTAACAAATATATTTCCTACGAGTGTAGTACTATTGATTTGTTGATATTCATTTGAATAGTTTTTCATTATCATAACATTCGCCTTCCATTGATTTTTTCTGACATTTTTTTTATAAGATCCATAACGAATTACGTTAAAAAGGAACACAATCATTGCGAAGGCTATTTAAAAACACGTTTTAGTATGTAGCTGCGCTCCTTTAACCCGTGTATCAAAGTTTCATTTTACGAGGTTAAATTCACAGCTGCGATCTCACAACACGTACATATGCACACTAAAACCCGAGTGTTCCTTTACATGAAACAGTTTAACATCATGCAAAACAATTAATGACGCAGAACCGTAAAAAGCCAAATATTGTTAACAAATAAGTAACCCATATATAAGTTTCATGGTGTGGTTATCATGTGCCGGTATTACCTTGCATAGAAACAGCGTGGAGTTGTAGAAAAGCTTCGCATGCTATTTTAAAATCAGTTTGAAAACCAAGCTCGGTTGAGATATGTTTACAGCCAGACAATATTTTTCAGTCGATGAAATCAATCAAAGTGCTGACCAAGGTACCAAATGTTTCATATGAAGAAGAAAAAAACAACACTGATAATTGGAAGAAATCAAATCACAAGGTAACACTCATTAACTGCTACGGAGCGGTCACTGAAAGAACATCCCTTGAGCGCTCGTATTTGTAGCCTGACTGCCTGTCGCTGGATCCAATCCCAGGACGCGAACCCGTGCCCATGAATAGCTCAGAGCGTCGCCGCTGCGCTATGGAGAGGACGGGTCTGCCAGCCTGCAAGTTGCCAATGCGCTGGTCATTTTAGATGCAAACACACGCACGCGCACGCACGCACGGGTGGGTGGGTGGGTGTACGGGCACGGGGATGGGACGCCGCTGTCACGTGGCCTCTCAAATGTCTCATCTGAGTGTATGGGGCTGTACACTAAACTAATTCAGCCCGTGCCATTTTCGAGCCCCCCCCCCCCCCTCCTTTTCCCCTATCCTAAAAAAAATAAGAATTACATTTTGCACTCCTGTGGCATGTGCAATAATTTATTTCAATTATTTGTCCCCTTTTTTTGGGCCAGCAATCAGTGTTTCGCATCTTCTACCGTTTTACATGTCCAGTTCAGTTTTGTTGTTTTACCTTTTGTCGAACACGAAGGGCAATTTTGCCGCATCGTAAAACCGTGAGGGATGGTGATGCTCCATCTAGCAGTGGATAGGTCACGGTTGATGATTTCAATACGTCACAAATGCTGATATCTACATTTCACAATATTTTTATACCGAATTTACATTTACTTAAAAAAAACTGTACGTGCATCATCACTTCAGCAGTTTTGTGGATGCTTAGAGACGCGTGTAACCTTTACGGCAACACTTGATTAAATCCTCAATTAACTATTGTGCCATGGCCGGCGGAATGAATTAAGGAAATCTTTTTTTGAACCACATCGCAAACGTGGTACTCTGACAAATATACCATGGAAAGCAAAATTTGCAAGCGTTTTACACAGCCTCCAAATACAGTTCTTACATTGTCTCAAGATACGAGCACAGCAGATGCCAAGGTGCCGCACATGTGCGCAGCCTCTCTCGCATCATGCTGTTCACAGTGCAGCTTTGGTGAATGTATAATACACGTGGTGCCCACGTGACGTTGCCTGTGCCATGTGTTTTTGGGTTGTACCGCATGTTGCTCAGCAAGATGTTTGACGTTTCGCTACACGTGCTGACCGTATCTGCAGGACCTGCATTGAGCAGCTCATGCTCTCTCTCAACACGTAGTATTTTTTGGCCGCTGCCAGTGTTTGATGTATGTATGTTGAACTTCTTTTGCACCGTACGTGACCAACCGTGCTAATCGGAGGTGCAGGGGAAAGACAAACTAAACACAAACAGCAGTTCTAAAGAAATGAGTCTTCAATCTGGATAATTTAAAAGTGCATAGCACCAGTGGCCTCCAAATATCAGATGAAATAGCGTTTCAGATGGCCACAAAAGCACATCTGAAAGCGCGCGATGCAGTAACTGCCTTTGTTCGATGGCTAGCCAAAAGCCGCTGCAAGGATGATCGGAGTTCGCGTGATGGTTTAAACTCCTCGACGACATCAGCAAGGCATTGGTCCATTTGTGGCAAGCACTTTGTGTGCAATGAGTGAAATGTTGACTGCAAAAAGCTAC